ACCACCGCCGCCATTAGATTCGCTCAGGCCTGATGACCCTCCGGCCAACCCGCCGCCGCCGCTTTGCGGCTGTATCGAATTTTGCGAGGGCACGATCGACGGGTTAGAGGTTTGGGGTAGTGGTGGTGTTCCAGTGTACTCACATGACACAGGCACGAACGGCTGCTGGAGCTGCATTAGCTGCTGGTAGGTCGTCGCGCCGGTTGGTTGGTACACCGGCATGCCGGACTTGTCGCCTGCTGGACGTTTGTACGGTACCATTCCTGGGAACGCCTGGAAGCAACAGCGGAATCGGGTTAGAGCATTCGGAGAGCTCGAGTATACGTGGCACTCGGGAGCCGTCGAAATTTTTATATATATTTTTTATATCCTTTTTATGTCCCTTTTTTAATTGGTAGCGGTACTATGAGTTCGCACGGGATTCAATGAGACTGGAATTTACGTAAGTGGTTTCAAGTAGAGTATGTTACCCTAATCAGAAAAATTTTTTAAATGAAAAAGGAACAAGGTACCTGATTAAGGGGGGAATGATTACAATATGTCGGTAGAAAATTTTTGAAATTTATATTACTTCGAGTATATGCTATCACGATGAAATAAGATCCACGAATCCATTTTTCCTAAAAATAAGTCCCACTTGAAATTTCCCATATGTAAATATACGTTGTGTATATATACGTCTAGATGGTATATAATAAATATTGCCTTAAGCGCATATCTGCAAAGTGGACTACCATATGCGATAAACGTATGCACAGGTCTCATGTGTGAATAGCGTTGAAAGGTAAGATAAGGATGGATGGGGTTATGATTTTTTTTTTTATCTGCACTTACAAAGTTCTCGTAGTAGAACGACCCGACAGATTTCATGTCCATCTGCAACAAAGACAGGATCGGTTTCAACTAATTTCAAAGGATCAGGTAATTGTACGATTCTTTTATTTTTTTATTTTTTTTTTTTTTAAGGGTCGGATCACCGGATTGGAAATTGTGGACAAATGGGATTTCATATATATATTTTCTTTTGTTTCATCAAGGACCATGGTCAAGGGCTAGAAACAGTGTAAGTTGTGCCGATGACGCAGCTTGCAGTGACGTTCCCATACGATGACGGTTTTCGTTGTTGGACAACTGTAAAATTCTTCTACTTCGAGAAAAAATTTGATGGAAAAACAAACGAAAGTAAAGTTTCTCTCGGAACGTTCCAAAATACATCCTTTCGTACGCGGATCTGTATACGATATACCTGGTTATGGATTGTGATATATGTATATTTCGATATATACAAAATTGCTAGAACGAAATGACGCAGTTGTGAAAATTATCATGGTTCTCTTATCTCGAGTAAAAAAAAAAGGAAAAAAAAAGGAAACCAGACTGCGACACGTTTTGTAAGAACTGAAGGACGTAAGTACGAATAGATAACAGCTTGCGAAAATTATGAGGACGTACGCGTAATGCAAAGGCGTGAAAATTCGAAATTCAAAGTGAATTTTAAAAGGCAAACCATGTATATGTGTAAGTAGAGAAAAAAGAGAGATGGGAAGAGAATGAGAAAAAGTGTGAACGAGAGAAAAAGTGAAATTTCGAAAATGTTTGTGAGAAAAAAATTGTGTTATATACATGTATAAATACATGTATATAATATAGCCGATGAAATAAGAGATAAAAAATAGAGAGCGTCATTAAATCAGACTGTCAGTCATTGAGGTAAGACATTACGTGATGTGTTCGAGTTTTTGTCGTAACCCGAATAAGCGAAAAAGGTAAAAAGAAAAAAGAGAAGAATACAAAAAAGAAGGAATTAAAGAAAAAATAAAACTAAGAAGCGGGCGAACGATTATTACCAATTGGCATAATCGTGGTAAGCAAAAAGAAAACAGAAGTTTTTTTTTTTCCAAGGAGTTTAGTCAAAAGCTGCGACGATATGCGAAAGCTTGAAAGCCGAAGAAAAATTAAAGAGAAAAATTTAAAAAATTGATCCCTTGAATTTTTCATTACTTTCCCACAGCGCGAAATACATAGAAAATCCTCAAGATTGAGTTCCAAATAACCTTGAGTGAATGAAAAAATGAAGCTGAGTCGCGTTGTGAAATTTCGAAAAGACGAAAGAAAAAAAGTTCACAGTACACGAAGACAAGAAGAAGAGGTCCCACGAAAAGGAAGAAAGTATAGCGAGTGTACGTAAGCGGACTATGGTGCTCTTGTTCTTTTTTTTAACAACAAAATCGAAATGACTAATTAATGATGGTCACTTTCCGAGGTGAATTAAAAAAAAAATTGAAAATAATCAAGTGAATAATTTATCTCTAGATGTACTTTAGTCATCGTCCAGAGTATACTCGAGGGGATGATGCTGTACCATCACCTCGGGGTCGCGAAAGCACAACATGCATCATCGGCGCAAGCTCAGAATTACACAGAACTCATTGTGTCCTTGAATCCGGGTCCATTTTTTAATTTCAACGTGACTTTTGGGCCAGTCGAGACTGATCCAATTCCATATTGAAAAAAAAAGGAGCCGCGAAAATTCCAAGCACAATAATTAGATTTCAAGATTTTTTATTTCAACATTCCCAATCCAAGCTGTTTGAACATCGATTCTCCACTTTCTATTTTCAACGTAATTGCCGGTGTTTATGAATAAAAAAAGTAAATCCAACATATCATTATGTTTTAATAACCCTGCAATTAGGTCAGTCGTAAAACAAGCAGGTTTCTTGGAATCGATGTTGCCACAACTCAAAGTGCGAAAATTGACCTACAATCAGTATAATAATCAATACGATATTATATCGATCGATCGATCAACTGATCGTAACTCAGGTCAGATATCTTTTGGCCAGAGGATTGCCTAAGGATTTTACCATAATCATTAGTGTCACGAGTCATGTCTTTAGAAAATTTTTCGAAAAAAAAAAAATTTTTTTTTTTACCAAACATTCTAAATACGAAAAGAGAAAACAATTGAATCGATACAGTCGCAAACTGTACGACCGAAATCCCATTGCCGTTTGACATGACACGTGACACGTGTGTCGATATAAGCGATCTATAAATACATTACGAGGCGTAAGCTCCGGAACGAACCACATCGCAAACAGACGACAGAAAAAAGAAGCGTCAACTAATAAAAAAGGAATTCTCAACAAATTTTTCGCATATCGTCGGGGTTTAAGCCAATGATAATATGTGCAGTAACCGTAGAGAAATATCTGAAAGCAGTCGACGCAAAGTCTGACGACAAAATCGGAGACAAAAGACACTCTGAAAACTCGTATCTTTCACCGTGTTTGTCGCTCATTTGCGTGGACGCCTTTAGTTACGTCCCGAGGTCGGATAAAGAACAGCGGGGTTTGTTAGAGACAAGAAAACAGGAGTAGAGCTCTAAGCGCGCTCGGCAGTGTATTCACAATCGCAGTAAACTGTATTTGTAACTTAAACGTAACGCTACGTAGAATATCCATAGAAACAGGCCTAAGAATTCGCGTAAGCCAATATAACGTATACTTGGAGAAAGAAAGCTTTTATATGTATATATATATATATATATACACACACACATACAGAACGAAGAGTACACTTTAACTTTCGTATTACCGTTGTTCGGTTCGAAAATAGTTTCCGCGTCACCCGACAGATGGCAGCACTTTTATAAATAAGTTAACGGCCATCTTGGATTTCGCCAAGCAGCTGCGCAGCGACGCTACGTAAATAAGTATATCCTTTAATTCTATTCACACGTTATTTTCTCGATCAGTGCTTATAACAAGAATCGGCCAATTTCTATCGAAATTCCGCTACAAAAACCGAAAGTGTACTCCATGCATAAGCCGTGGTACCATTAGCAGATCGTCATTGGAGTCGCGCATCCGCTTCTTGCCGAGCTCGATGCTCGCCATATTGGCGTTCTGAAGTCCTCCAGGTACAGCTGCAGCCGGCACTCCTGACACTCCGCCAGCCATCGCTCCAATTCCCGCAACGTTCGTCGGCACCGTCGCCGTCTGCTTTACATTTATTTTTTTTTTTTTTTTTTTTTTTTTTTTTTTTTTTTTTTTTCGTGCGGGCGGTGGTGATCGGTCAGTCGTGCGGTTCGGAAATGTTTTTTTTTTTGTTGGCAATTCGCAGGCGTTAATTGGCGAGTAGCGAAGCGCACGAAGGTTTTCAGCAAGCATGAAGCATCGCCAGCAAGAGGGCAAGATAAAAATCAAAAAAAGAAAAAAAGACCAGTTGAGGCTCGGTAGACAGTCGTATGAGTCTTACAAATGTAAATATAGATTATACAGGTGAATGTATATATATTTTATGTTATATATAAATATATACTAATATACGGTAAGGTCGTATATCGGGTTTGCTGTGCGTCAGAAAAAGGTGTAGCCTAAAAATATCATTAGATTTATATTAATATATATGAGATATATATGTATATATGGGTATATACTGCTCTGCGTAATTCAGGATTCCTGTGACTATGAAAAAAACAAATTGTACCAAAAATGTTGCTGGTGACAGAAAAAAAATGTTATTGATGAAAAAAAAACAAGAAGATTAACGATCATAAGAAATAGTAATGACACGGTGAAGTGCAAGAGAAAAAAAAAAAGCGTCCTTTTGATGAGCTGCGCATGCGCACGAGAAACCAGACCGATCGGAGCTCCTAAATGAAATTGTCTGAGTAAAGAAGAAAAAATTTGGTCACAGTCATTATGCTTATTAGGGTTGTTTCCGATGCTGTTGTACACGTGACGTCACGCTGGGACTTCAGACACAAAAGTGCAAAGACAAATTTCAAATGGAGACAAAGTCGCTCCAAGCCGGAGCAGGAAGATCTAGTGTATGGGTGCAAAGACATGGACAGGTATGAAGTAAATTATAGAAAATCCAAGAGAATCGATCATTAGATAATAATAAAATCAAAAAATTGCTAAGTACAATTAATGACATGCAATTCCTCCTCCGTTTAGCCTCAGCAAGCGATTCGACGTTTCCGGTACCGACGAACCTGAAATATGTATCTTACAATCAAATCAGCCTCGACTTCCGGTTGGCGAGGTGCGCGCGCATCCCCTTTGCTTCTCTTCTCGTTCGAACTGCAATAATTGTGAGTGGTACTGTACGAAAAATTGAAAGATGACGTAAACAAGTGAAAAATGGATAATCGAAGAACAAGGCTGGCTCTCGTACGTACGTACAGTGGCAAAGAGATACAGTGAAATAAAATACAGTGTGAGATGCGTAAAAAGATTTATGAATGAAAAAAAAAGAAAATAATAATAATAATAATCAGCAGGCATCGTTTGCAGAAAGACGGGGATGTTTTTTTCACAATTTTTCTTTAAAGTTGCCTGAAATTGAGGAAACAAACGAATATGCACATTATTATTTACATTAAGTTTTTTTTACATTGACGTGTATTTATGCTTGTTGGAGTCGTCCCTTCTGTGTAATGTGCATCGTGTTTAACTTGTATGGCTATAATGTAAATATTGGCGTATGATTGTATGAGACATGTGTAATTTCGTGTAATTATCATATATGTATATACTGTATCGTATGTGTATACTGATATAGGAGTCTGATTGGACAGTGTACCATATACAATATATATATATAGTGTGTATGTATCTGCGTATGTATCATGTACGTGTTACACTTGACAAACATTTAGGAATTGCGTTGCAATTCCAAAGAGTGCATTTCGCGATGATTAACGTCTCTGGAGTAGAAAATTCCAAAAGAGAGAGACATGAGTGATATCGAAAATCGCAATAGGGTCTATTCCTTATCTTATTTGTTTATTATGAATAATAAAAATTTACAAAAATTTTATTGGACCAGATATTTTTTCATCGGCAGATAGTATTGAAGAAAAGAAGATGGCAGTAGCGATTTTCGATTCGTATGCTTATTTTTTTTTTTAATTTTTTTTTCAAGCCGTTCTTTGCGGCTCATTATTCGTTCTCGTGAGACGCGACCAGCGAGTCTCGTAACGATCGTTAAAGATAAGTGGGCGCGGGCCGAGTGGCTTCTCAAAATGCAATGCACCCTTCGGGAATTGAAACCCACTTGTAGAGAATGAAACTTCCCTGCCAACAAGCTAGTCTGCCGCAATCCGTGCGAGATTCTCCGTTCTTGTGTCCGGGTGTGGGCGAGGTCCTCCGGCCGACGTTGCTGAAAATCTCTCTCTCTATTTTTTGCCTTGGCCTGTTTCTTTTTTCCTGAGTTTCTTTTTATTTGCGTCTATTCCCTTTTCATTTTTCTTTTTTCAAATTCCTTTTTTTTTTTTTTTTTTTTTTTTTTTTTTTTTTTTTTTTTTTTTTTTTTTTTTTTTTTTTTTTTTTTTTTTTTTTTTTTTTTTTTTTTTTTTCGAAACTTTCTCCGTTCGACGAGGAGCACGACTCGCGTCTGTCCGTATATACAGTGTCGAGATGCACCGAGGGACAGGGAGTGTAGAGCGAAAAGAGGGGAGGCGACGTAGTACGGTGTTACCACTTGGAGTAGAGTTGTAAAAAAATTTTTGAAAAGTTTTACTGTTTCATTGTTTTGTATTTTTTTTTTTTTTCATTCATTCTTTTTTTCCACCAAGAGAACTTTCACGAAGACTCGCCCATCCGTCCGACTGAGAAAGTGCTTGTAACCATCGATGAGAGTCTGGTGCCTCGAAGGAGCGTGACGATTCAAGGGGAGAATGATTTGAGAAATGAAAAAGCATTTGAAAAACAGAGGACTGATTTTGAGCTCATCCTCGGAATAGCAAAGAGAATGGAAAATTTTGGAAATTTTTCCATTGCTGAGATATGGCACCTCTTGAGTCTCGGGGGCGTGTAGATCCGTGAAAACGATAATGAATGTCGCATCGCGACGTCCCTGGTGGCTGTGGACGCAACGTCCAGGAAATCTGTCTTGCTGCAGATTGAAGTGACGCGCTTGAGCTATATACACGTACATAGGTCAAATGGTCGAATCAGCCCAAGAAAATGGATGAGACGCAGCTGCGAATTTGTGATTTCCACTTTTCTCCGATAAAAGTGTAAATTTTCTTTCGAATTGAGAAATTACCTTAAAAGGCATTGTAAAGGACGTAGAATTTCTATGAGCCATCTTATTGGTCGAGACAAAAAGAGAGCAAGGCGGACCAAGACACAGAGACAGATAGAGGATGTGTGTGTGTGTGAGAGAGAGAGAGAGAGAGAGAGAGAGAGAATAGAGACAAAGTAAGAGGAAGAGAGGTAGAGGGAAAGGAGCACAGAAGTACGGCGGTACGAGAAGGGAAAAAGGATGGATATATAATGAGAGTGAGAGAGAAAGAGAGAGAGAATTCGAGATCGCAAACGAGAATAGAGACAAAGTAAGAGGAA